TACTTTCTGAACAGCATTCGTAAATTGAAAGATACAATAATTTGCGATGGACCATGTCACGGTCTTGAAATGTTAAAATTATAAAAACATTTAAACGAAAAGCTACTCTTCTATCAAGTATAAAATCTGAAGGAGACGTACTTTACTACCAAGTGAGTCCACGGGCGAATAATTTGTTCTTATTGTCTATACATTTATATATATATATATATTTGTATTTATAAGGGGAAAAACATTACTTCAGTAATGATTTATTACAGACTGTAGTTTTTGCAGGTGGTAGGAAAGAAGTTCGTTTAAAGCCGGTGTCCTTACGTGAATAAAATACTATGGGAGTAAGCTGCAGAGCGATTTATCTTTAAAACCCTGCTTTAGCAATCTTTTTTAACCAAAAATACATCCCGGAATTTTGATGTACGTTTCGTGAGATGGTACATCTGTGGTACATCCAAACACCTTCCGTAGAAAGCACGCACAGAAATACCCTTTTCTTGTACATATTTCGTAGTAAATCATGCTTTTCTACTCGAGTTTATACTGGAAGGAAGGGTGGCCTTTTGCTTAAAAGTATTTCTCGGTTGTGCTAGTTTGTTGGAAGGGAACTTATAAAGTTAAGTTTGGTTTCCCAGTGCACGGAAAACTTTTCACTCTCATTTCACAACCTCACCATGGTAATTTTTTCTACCAGCTTTGTCACCTGCTGTACGGACAGCGTCGAGTATTTTCTGTTTTGCAATTGTTTTTAAATTTCAAATCAACACTTCCTTGCAGGTCTTTCTCTGGAAGACGAACTTTGACCAGGTCGATGGTCGTGACTCCGTCCTCCTGACTACACGTGTGCGGCAGTCGGTCCTCAGTGAGCACCAGCCAAATGAGGCCTACTGCAGCCAGCGCTACGGCGCCGGCGATGCGGCCTGTGACTCCATGCCACAGGTGCCGCCATTCGCGTCGGCTCAAAGTCATGTCACCACCGCAGAGGAGACGCTCCTACTGGATGGTGATGGCGAGGCACAGAGCCACCCCCAGCGTCGCCAGCAGCAGTACCGCGAACGTCCGAGCCAGAAAATCATCCAGTATCGAGAGATGGCGCCCAACATGCAGGTCATTGATTCTCCTCAAACTGCGCCGTTGCAGCCGTCATCAGATGGCCCGACCTCTTATTCCTCCACAAAGGTGCCATTTTTCTTTTCCTATGTTTAATTTGACAAACACATTTTTTCAGCAACTCCTCATCAGGCCAGTACATTTGCAGAGATAATGAAAATCTTACAGTTGGACAAGGTTAATAACGGGGAAGAAGACGACTTGATCGCTGTCGTCTTCTTCTCAATTACTTCCTGGGATTCGCATATTCGCTTGTATTGGCAAGATTAATAATTGTCCTTTGATTACAGCTCATCATTTTCACGCCGCTCGCATGGCGAGGTCGACGTGCAGAGGTCCTTGTGCTGTGGAGGGGGGGAAATTAGGTTAGGTTGTGGGTATTTATCAGGAGTCAGGTACATGGAGTGATAATTACTGTCATTTGCACGGAACCAACGACTGTCACTAGGGGAGGGGGTGATGTGCGATCGCCACCTGGCGTCGGGGTCGGTCAGGAAAATGAATGTGCTTGTATTAGCGTCTTCTGACAACACAACACTGGATTCGCTAGCCGTATAGCCATTGCTTCGGCCGTTGTCAACACTCTTTGGCGTAGGCCTCTGGAAAAGTTAGCTGGTGTTCAGTAGACAACCTGAAAGGCTTCATTAGTATCGACTCGATGATTCGTATCGACAAGATGTGCGAGAATAGAACTCGAGATCGATCTAGTTTCATCTTTACTTAACCAGGCCGGTATGTGCTCACGTATCCTCTTCCAGTCGTCTCATTGTTCGGCTGATGTACCCTGCTCCACAGGAGTAGGTGGAAGAGTAAATATACATGGGTGTGGTCTTCTTTTATAGTCAGACCCAGATTATCCGGCTCACTACTCCCAGGCCAAACAAGTGCCGCTAGATGTTGTATCGTGAAGTGGACGGCAGAATTTAAGGGATGTCAGAAGAGGACAAATAGATTATTTTGGTTTGGCAAATTTGGTTAATTTAGTTGACCCAGTTGTGAAAAAAACTCGCGGCATTCGGCGGGATTCGAACCCGCATAGGAGGGA